CCAGCTGCCCCCAGCCCTGCCCCACACTCCACACAACAGCCCTGGCCCCATGGGCACAGGCTCCATCGCCCCAGCTGGAAGACAGGAGTCCGGGGTGGGGCTGTGTCTCCCCCTTGCCGCCCCTGCTCAGCCTGGCGCTCAGCCCCCGCCCCCAGCCGATCTTCGCCCCCCACGCAGGGCTGGGAGGCGCTTTGCATTCCAGAGCGTCTGAGCCTGGCCTGGCCCGGTGCCAGCATGGGGGGGGCACCTGGGCGCGGGGGCAGGGACAGGCCTGCTCGAACCAGGCAGAGCCAGGGAACAGGTGCCACACGGGCACGGCTGGCAGGGGCTCTGGCCTGGGCGGGGGAGAAGGAGGCTGGCAGGGGGAGAGGATGTGCAGGGGGGAGCAAGGGCTGGCCTCGGCTCCGCGGAAGTCTCTGCTTCCTGCTTGCCAGCCCCGGGCTCGCTGGAGAGGAAAGAGCCCCCCATTCATGCGCCAGGCGCTGGGCTGCAGCTGCAGACGCAGGCGGGGTGAGGGGCTGGCGCGGGGCCCGTCAGAGGGTCAGGAGCAGAACAAAAACGAACCCGGCCCACTGCCGGGAGTGCCCCACAGTGCCATGCTGGCAGGGCTTGGCACAGAGCCCAGGCCAGCAACCGCCCCCGGGGAGCAGTGCCCACTGAGACAGAGCCTGGCTTGAGGGAACAGCACGGGGCCTGTGTGTGTGTGTGTGGGGGGGGAATTGCTTGAACCTGTAGAAAGCGGGGGATGCCCTAGGATATTTCTGCCCTTGGGGTCCCTGGGGGTGCAAGATGGAACCCTGGAACCCCCTGGGGGGTCAGTGCCAGGGTGGGGGATGGAGCCCTCCCAGATGTCAGTGCCGGAGGCCCGAAGCTGGCTGTGCTCTGGGCTGGAGGGGCCTGGCGGTGGTCGTGGGGGCAGTCCCAGGGCGTCTGTCCCCTGGAATGGGAGTGCTCTGATGCCGTCACTGGCCCATCCCTCCAGCCCTGCGGTGGGGAGGAGGCTGCAGAGGTTAAGCCTGGTGTGGGAATGTCTTGGACCCGAGACTGAAGCCCCTGTGGTCCTGGGGGCCCCATAGGGGGGAGCGACCAGGCCATGTGGGCCTGAGCCAGGCTGTGCTGAGTGCAGGGATGGATGGGCTGGAAGCTGGGGACATTGCGGCCTGCCCCTCCTACCCGCTGCCTCTCTGCCGCGCTCAGCCAGTGTCCCTGCCCTGCGCCACCCTCTGCCCAGCCCGAGCACTGATATCCCAGCCGACCCCAGGCTGGCTCTGTGGTCCCCTCCCCATGCTTGGCTCAGGGTCTAGCAGTCCTGGCAGTCCAGGCCTGACGTGGGTTGCGGTGAGGAGGCGGTGGTAGGGGGCTCCCAAGGGAGGGTGCTAGTGAGCCCTGGGCTCTAGGAGGAGCTGGCTGAGATCACAGCTGAGACGAGCACCTTGTTCTCAGCCAGCTGCAAAACAGACCCTTCTCCAAAGCCAGTGTGGGCACCTTGCTCTGCACAGGGGGAGGGGGGAGAGGGCAGGGCCGGGGGGAGAGGTGCCAGGGCTGAGACAGCAGGGGCTGTGGGTTGGGATTGAGGGGCACCGGCAGAGCTGGGGGGGAGGGAGGGCGTAGCAGGCCTGGTGTGTACACAGCCCCCTGCATTGTACAGTCCCTGCTGGAAGGGGGTGAGCGCGCCTGCTGGAGTGTCTGTGCGATGCGGGGCTGGATGGCTGTGGAGGGACGCTGCAAGGCTGGCCCAGTGGGTGCAGCAGGGATGAACTGAGGCGGCTGAAGAGGCAGCGTGTGCTACAGAGCCGGGGGAGCTGGCTGTGGGCACCGTGGGGTTGGGGCAGGACTGGGTGTGGGCACCATGGGGCGGGGGGGACGGGTGTGGGCACTGTGGGGCTGGGGGGGCCTGTGGCACATTCCCTGCTGCCCTGCTGCAGGCAGCGCAGGGTGTGGGGCTGCTCACTCCCAGAAAGGGGTCTGCAGGGCCGAGTGCATCCCACGCGGAGGGAGACGAAGGGGGTGGGGGCTGGGCATCTCACTCTTGGATCTGCTGGCGTTGGCAGAAGCCGGGACAGTGGCAGGACAAGAATTCCCTGGGCTGGGCAGCGGGCACCTGTCCGTGATGCCCCTGTTCTCACAGGTGGTGGGTGGCAGATGGATGATGCCCCTCCCCTGCCAAGGAAAAGTGCCTGGGCCCCAGCCTGAGCTGGCCTGAGGTGCTCAGCAGAGCCCCTTCCTGCACAGCCCCTGCCTGGGCAGGGCCAGCTGCGGAGCTGCCTGGGGTCTCACTGCAGCACAGGCACCTCTGGGATCAGGCTGTGTGGGGTGCTGGGGGCTCTCCGAGCACTGCCACCTCCTCATCACTGTCTCCATGGCCAGGTGGGGAAACTGAGTCACAGGGCGGGGGTGGGATGTGCGTGGGCAGGCCGGGGCATGATGCCACAGCAGGAAGCAGGCAGGAAATGAGCCAGGCCTGGTGTCCACGGAGGAGCCCAGGATGGCAGTGCAGGGCCCGCCTGGCCGGGCTCACAAGGAACCAGCTAGCAGACAGCTGGCAGCCCGCCAGGTCCCCTCCCCTGCCCCAGGGAGAGGCCCCGGGCAGGGCAGGGCAGTCCAAGGAGGGAGGCCGTGAATGCAGCTGGAGCCTTCCCAGGCTCTGAACTGCCGAAGATAAATATTTACTTCCTTCCTCCCCCGTCCCTGTGCCCGGCGCAGCCAGACAGGGGGCCACAGGCTGGCTGGAGGGGGGTGGGCGGGGTGCCTCTCCCTGCCCACCCCAGCGGGGCTGCCCCCAGCCAGGAGCAGGGAGAGCCCAGCAGCCCTTTGGGGGCTGTCGAGGATCGGGGGAGGGGCACGGTCTGCTGGCTGGGCTCTGGGCTGATCCAAAGCTGCCAAGTAGGAAGGGGCGCAGGGCCCTCGGGCACTGGCTGCCGGACCCCAGCCAGGCCTTGGGGCGCCTAGGCTCAGCGCAAACCTCATGGTGCCCAGCAGGGCCAGCCTGGCCTGAGCTGAGTGGCTTTGGGCTGGCTCTGGCGCGGGCTGGGGCTGGCAGGCAGGGGGCAGAGTGAGGCTGGCTGTGAAGTGGGCACCTCTCATGTATGGGAGCCTTGTGTTGGGGACGGTGCCCCCCTGCTCCCTGGCCCCAGGCTGCCTCCCACGCTTCCTGGCCCCCTGCTGCCCCCCCTGCTTTCTGGCCCCCTGCTCCCTCCTCCCCCCACACTCCCCGGCCCTGTGCCGCCCACATACTCCCCAGTCCCATGCTGCCCCCCCCCACTACCTGGTCCTGTGCAGCCCCCTCTCCCCCCATTCTCCCCAGCCCCAGGCTGCCTCCCACATTGCCTGGCCCCAGGCTGCACCACCCCCACCCCCCGCTCTCCGGCCCCCTGCTCCCGCCCCCACTCTCTGGCCCCCTGCTGCCCCTCAAATCTGCCAAGCTGAATCCCCTCCTGGCTCCAGCAGATTTGGGCTGCTGGTGATGGGGAGGCGCCTGCAGCCCCCTGCTAGCCCAGCTCTGGGCTCCCCACATGGCCGGCACAGGCCTGGTTCAGACTCCCTGGCCTTCCCTGCCCAGAGCCCTAGGATGTGGGAGTTTGTCCCCCCAGAGCAGACTGAGCTCCAGGTTTGCAAGCTCCATGATGTGTTGTAATCTCCCCCTGGACGGCAGGAGCAGCAAGGCCCAGGGCAGGCTCCTTCCCCAGCTATCAGAGCTTTGCCTCTCCCAGCCCCGTCGAGGATCTCAAAGCACCTGAAAACCCCAGGGGGCTGCGGGTGGATGCTTGCCCAGAGCCCCTCCACACTGGGCCTGGCTTTGCCCTGGTGTCTGTGAGCACCGCATAGGCCTGAGTAACCGTGTAAAGTGGAAGGGCCGGCATGTGACTGGGCTGGTGTCTGCTGGGCCCCACCCTGGCCTGGGCCCCGCCCTGCAGAGCCCTGCGGCTCCTGGCGCTGCCCCCTGAGCTGTGGCTGCTGCAGGCAGAGGGGAAACAGCTGCTTGTAATTCCAGACGGGTCACTCTGCTGGGGGGGCTGCAGCACGGCTCTGGACCAGCTCAGCCAGTTCTGCCGGCTGCCTCTGGCCCCATCCTCCCCTCCCCGCCTGGCAGGCTAGGCGAGGCAGGCGGTCACTGAACCCAGCCCCTGCCTGATGGCTCCTCACTGATCATAGGACCCGCCCCCATCTGGCTCAGTGGGAGTGGGTATGGGTATGGGTATGGGGCTCCATGGAAAATGTAGGGCTGAGTTCTGAGCCAGGCCAGGGGAGGAGCAGGAGCTGGGACTCTCCAGTGCAGCCAGGGTGGTGAGAGGCTGCCAGGACTCTGCCCTCGGGGTAGCACTGGGCACTGGGCACTGGGCACTGTGCAGGGGAGGGAGCTGGACGGGATGGGTGGCAGGGGCAGTGTCGTGGCATCTACTGAACCTGCCTTTCAGCTCTGGAGGTCTGGTGGAAATGGGGTTCAGGGGGCCCCAGGATTGGGCTAGCAGGGGGCTGCAGGTCAAGAGTGAGGGGCACCAGCAGAGCTGAGGGGGGGTGGCCTGTCCACAGTGTCCTACTTTTGTACATAGAACTGTTCCTTCTCCAGAATCTGTCCTTGCATTTCCCAGCCCCCTGTTAAGAGCAGGCCTGGCAACAAGTTTTTTGGGGGCTCCTGGTGGCAAGTTGGGGGGGATCCTGGTGGCAGGATTTGTGGCTCTTGGCAGCAGATTGGGGCAGGGGTGCTGGAACAATTTGTATAGTGGGGGTGCTGAGAGCCATTGAACCAAACTAAACCCTGTGTATGATGGAAACCACTTTAAGCTGTGGGGTGCTGCAGCACCCCCCAGTTCCAGCACCTATGGGAGGGGGCTCCTGGCAGCAGAGTGGGGGGGCTCCTGGTGGCAGGTTTTGGAGCTCCTGGCCCCGATCCTGTGGCCGCTGGGACAGGCTATGTGCAGGGGGGTGCATGGGTGTCCGTGTGTGGGTCCTAGAGGGCGGCACGACCTAATTCACCCCCCTGCCCCTCTGCTCCACTGCAGGTTGCCTGGGCACCCTGCCCCTGTCCCCGGGCTGCAGGGGGAGCAGGCCCCAGAGGACACCGTCTGCTCCCTGCCGGAGGACGCTGCTGGTGGCCAAGCCGGGCACCATGCACTCCCTGGATGAGCCCCTCGATCTCAAGATCAGCATCTCCAAGCTGCGGGCAGCACGGGAGAAGCGGACACTGGGCAGCACCAAGCACCGGGGCTTGCACCGCGAGCTCAAGAGCCAGGATGATGATGCCGCAGCGATGGGCCCCGGCTCGCCTGGCTCCCCGCTGGCCGGTGAGAGGGGGAGGGGCGTCCGGGGCCCCACCCGGGGGGACCGCCTTCCTGCACCCTCTGGTACGACACCAGGGGGCACCACCTGTGTGCAGTCTTCTCAGGGTGGGACCGCTGGTGAGAGAGCCTTGGGTCACGCTCTGCCCCTTGCTGGCCACCTGCCCCTGGGGCTGGGCCAACACGACTGGGGTCCCCCAGGCCATGCTGGGATCCCTTGGGGCAGGCCATGAGCTGTGGGGTTGGGCGCAGGGACTGAGGAAGAGGGGGGTCACTACCGCGTCCTGACCCAGAAGTGGCTGCATTGCAGTGGTGGGGAAAGGCGCTTGGGGTGGGATTTGCTGCTCACCCGCTGGCTTTGTGCTCCCCAGGTCTCCTGCTGCCCTCCAAGTACCACGACAAACGGGACGCTCGCTTCTCCTCGACGCCCCTGCTGGACCTCAGCCTGTCACCCCCATCCGGCCTGGACTCCCCCGGTGGCAGCACCTCACTGTCCCCTGAGCGGCAGGGCAGCGGGGACCTGCCCATGGTCACCAACCCCCATGTAAGTGATGCGCTATGGCAGGGCAGGGGCTGGGGCAGACAGGGGAGCTGCTGGGAAGGGGGCTGGGGGCACCGTGGCAGCAGCTCCCTCCCTCGACTCAGCAGGAAGAGCCTTTTCCAGATGGCTGCCCCTCTGCCCAGGGCAGCCCCAGACCTAGGGCCCTGGGCCCCACTGGGCTGGGCTGGGCTGGGCCGCCAGGGAGGGGAGGGGGAAAAGGATGGGCGGAGGCGGGGAGGGAGGGGGAGAGGGATGGGCTGGGGTGGGGAGGGAGGGCTGGAGTGGGGGGGAAGAGGGATGGGCTGCGGTGGGGGGGGCGGAGGGGCAGGGGGAGAGGGATGGGATGGGGGGGAAGGGAGT